TCTATGATTTTGTCATTTTTTAATGCAGAGTAATACTCCATTGTGTATAAATGCCACATTTTTTTTTTATCCATTCGTCTGTTGAAGGGCATCTAGGTTGGTTCCACAGTCTTGCTATTGTGAATTGTGCTGCTATGAACATCGATGTTTTTGATAGAAAAGTTTTTCAGACTGCAAGAATCTAAGAATATTGTAATTAATATCTGTGTGACCATAAATATGCATGCCTGTAAATCTCAACTCATAGGTTAGAGCCTTTTAGTTTTACTAGTACTCATAATTATCAAAAAACATCTTGACAATTCAAGATTATTTATAAACACACACACACACACCTTTCAATCCTAAATATGCCTGTATAGCATTAAAAATAATACAGTAATTCAAAAAAGGGAAGGATTATGAGTTAAAGACTGATGTTAATGAGGCCAAAGCCAACCCCATAAGATCAAGTTAACTCTGCACAGAAAAAGATTTAACTAGACTCCACTTCTAACCATTACCAGCCTGCTTATGTATATTTATTTATTGGAGAAGAAATAAGGAGAAGAGTAAAAATCGATCAGTATACTCTGTAATATGACTAGAAAATTGTGGAAGATTGTGACTATTCAACAAATTTATTTCCTTTTCCTCTTATAAACATTTCCTTATATTTAGTTATTGGTGGCTATGGTTTTAAGACTATATTCAAGCCAATGGATTATAAGTGAAATAGTATGTGCCGCTTCTATGACCTATAAGAAAAATTCTCACATATCACCTTCATATTTTTCACTCGAGACATTAGTGATTACGGAGCAACAGAAAAAATAAACCTGGAAACTCAATGAAAATTTGGAGGAACCCTCAGCTGATTAGTCACATACAGACTTCATAGAAGTCAGAAATAAACTTCTATTATGTTGAGCTACAAAGATTTTTTTGTTTATCTTTTATAGTTGATAGCACTAGCTTAACTAATCTACAATTATTATAAAGTACATATTCTATTGAATGTGTATCACTAGTACAATCTTTGTATTTGAGAAAAATGCATTGGTAAAAGAAAGATATTTAAAAACTTCAATATGGTTCACTGACTCATAAGAATCAGTTGTGCACATCTCTTCCCAACTTCATACTCCATGAAGTGTATTAGCTTGGTATATGTTGTTCCAGGATCTTCTAGCTTTCAGGGTCTGGGTTGAAAAATCTACAGAGATCCTAATTGGTTTTCCCCTCTATGTGATGTGATTCCTTTCTCTTGTGGCTTTTAAAATTCTATCCTTATTCTGTATAATAGGCATTTTCATTATAATGCCACAATAGGTATATTTAGACTACAGAAATTAGAAAATGCTATAAACTAGAGCTAATTCTAACAGAAAACAGGTTTTTTGCATTTATGAGCACATCACTAAATATGTCTATTATATATTCTACTAAAAGAATAAGACTATACTCCATATTAGTAAATGATCTTGGATGGAGCTATAATTTGCCATAAAAATTAATTCAGACCATAAAATTCCAATTTATTTACAGATGGACAAATAACTATTAAGACAAATTCTTAATTATTTATGAATTCATACAATATTCACTAACTGGCTAATATATGTAAGACACTATGCTAAGAGCTGATGAATATAGCTGAACAGACATTTTTCACTGTGGAGTTTATAGTGGGGAAGTCAAGCAAATAAATAATTGTACAAGTATTATTTATATCAGTTATGGTGAATACTACAAAAGGAATGCATTCACACCACAGATTTCCTTAATGCCGTCTCCTCTGGCCCAGGTTGTGTTTGAAGAAAAACAAGGAGGCAGAGATCTGCAAGAGGCCTGGAAGTCCAGAAAGACTCAACCACAATATTACCCTAAAATGTTCACATCACCATGTTCACGTCCATGGTGTCTTTCTCTCAAGGACATCTGGGTTACTGAACAGCAAGCTACTCCCGAGCACTGCCATGGTGGATTTTCAAAGTTCAGGCACTGGCCCATAACCTAGCAGAGTGTAAGGTTTTCAAATAAATTTCTTAAGCAATTAAGAGATCACTGTGATCTCTACATAAGAGCCTTCAGTACTACAAACACAAATCAGAAATTTGCTTCATCCAGTAACCCTAAATAAACAGCAAGACTTTCCCAGATTCTCCATGAAGAGCAAGCATGGCATCTCTAGCCATAGTCACATTTGCAGGTTGAAAGAGAAAGTCTAATAGGTCTTCTATAAATCTCTCAGCAGGTAGCAGCAGTACAGAAAAAGCTTAAACCTTGAACATTTTTAAGTTTTGGTTGTTATAAACTTTTCTCTCTTGGCTGCAGTTATGGCTTTGAAAAATTACAAAGAAATGCAGATTATTTCTCTACCTTTGATCTGGTTTTTCTCAACAGCACACTAACCGGATTTTTCTATAAAGCCACCTTACTAGATTTTAGAATGCTGACTAGCTCCATTGAACAAATTCCCTATTTCTACCCCTTCCTCTGATAGAATTTTAAAAGCCAAGAAAGGCCTAGAGGTTAACTAATTCATAGTCTAGGTTCCTCATTTGAGGACTGTGCTCCACTATTAAATTGCCCTGACTTAGATTCCCACAGGCAGTGCAGACTCCTCTTAGTCTCCAAATAATCTTCTATTTAGCCATGACCCAAGCTATCCGTAATACAGATTATTCTGCAAAATCACCTGTACCCACACTATGGGGAACAAGAGGAGTTGTTGGAGGGACATGCAGCAGTTTATATGTTTTTCATGCCAAAATAGACCTAAGGATAGTTGTGGAAAGCTAATTCTGGCCTTTTCTGACTTTTCTTTACCATGACACACTGCCAAATCCACTCTGAATGACCTTTGCCTCAGGTGAGTGCTAGGGCATCCTGAAGAATGAATCCCAGCAGGACCAGTACATCATGCCGGACCCTAGCCCCAGGCCCAGAACCTCCCCACCAACCCACACAGGAACCAAGACACAGGTCCTGACCCAGGACTACCGCACTGAACAGCAGACCCACCTCAAGCAAAGCCCCAGGCCTAGGACCACCCCTCCCACTCACACAGTAGCCAAGCACAAGGTTAGTCACAGGACCACACGCCTACCAGCAGACCCAGGACTGAACCCAGGCCTACTTCCACCTACATCTTGGGACTCTGCAGCCATCACCAAAGCCCTCCCCACTCATTATAATGAAAATGCCTATTATACAGAATAAGGATAGAATTTTAAAAGCCACAAGAGAAAGGAATCAGATCACACAGAGGGGAAAACCAATTAGGATCTCTGAAGATTTTTTAACCCAGACCCTGAAAGCTAGAGGATCCTGGAACAACATATACCAAGCTCTGAAAGAAAATAGATGCTAACCAAAAATCTTATATCCAAAAAAGTTTTTTTTCAGCAAGAGAAACAATAAGAGAGGTAAATAGGGAGCCTACATCCTGGGAACAAATTTTTACTCCTCACACTTCAGATAGAGCCCTAATATCCAGAGTATACAAAGAACTCAAAAAATTAGACAATAAGATARCAAATAACCCAATCAACAAATGGGCCAAGGACCTGAACAGACACTTCTCAGAGGAGGATATACAATCAATCAACAAGTACATGAAAAAATGCTCACCATCTCTAGCAGTCAGAGAAATG